CTGGGAAGCTGCTGTGTTGAGTGTACAGAACAGACAGGCACTGGCAGATAGTTCTGAGCAAGTAGTGGGGATGGTGGGAGCTGCTGTTGCTGCTCTGAGCCTGGAAGTGGTGCTGGACAAAACTGGGTGGACTAGAAGCCCCTGTGCCTCTACAGCTGTCTGTGCTGACCCCTTCCCTTTTGGGTTGTTGGTGTTTTCCACCCCCTAGAAATGGATTTATTCACTTCTCTTCAAAGAGAGAAGCCTGGGCTGGTGTGGAGGGCTCAGGGAGTGTCCCGTTGCATGAAAGCAAATCATTCCCTGCTTGAAGGCTTCCCTGCTGCAGGCAGGAGTCAGGAGGGGAGGTGCTGCTGCCTGGGTTGTTTGTGGAGGTGCCTCTGAGACTTCTCAGCTCCCATTTGTCCCAAAGCTCTGCAGGGTTCCCTGTGTCAGGCTGCCCTGTGGGACACGGCACGAAGCCCGTGGAGCTGCGCCCTTGTCCCCAGGTGCTGGGTGGCTTTGGTCAGGAGAAGGGACCTCTGTGAGGAGCAGTGGTGCCTTGTAATGAGAGAATCACCAGAGAACAGTGTTGACATTCCTGTTTATTGGTTTGCCAAGGCTGGGCGAGGCAGAGCAGACACTTGGTGGGCCTCAGCCATCCCAAGGAGGGTGTGATCCGTTCTGGTCCTGCCCTGTCACCTCTGACCTTGGAGGTTTCTTCCCTTCTACAAAGAATTTCCCATCCTTTTCCTGTGGTGGGACAGGTTTCACTCACACCAGTCTTCCAGTGTAACCAGAAGCAGACTGAGCTCCCTGGTGGCTTCTCCTGCATCCCGTGGTCAGGCTTGCAGCAGGACATGTCCCTGCTCCTTATGTGCTTCCGTGGACAGGCAGGCCAAGCCACACTTGAGGGCCATGCAGCACGTGGTGCTGGGGGTGCAGTTGTTTGAGAGCCTGCCAGGCAGCTGGGTGGTGGGTGGTCATGTTCCCTGTGTGTTCAGGAAGAGGTGAGGAAAAGCTTTTTGGGCCTAGATCAGCTCCTGGCTGCTGTTCCTGAGCCCACATGGTTCCTTTCTGCTCTGTTCCTAGTGTGCAGGTGTGATGGCTCCCACCTGAGCTCTGGGGGAGAAGGGCTTCCCTCTTCTCAGACAAGTACCCCATGAGACAACCCTCTTGTGTAGGGCACCAGTACATCCCTTCTCCACCACTGCTTCTGGTTGGTGGGTACACCACTTCCCTTGTCCCCAAACCCCTTCATGCTTGTACCAGTCTCCCGAGACCAGACGTTTAAAGGGCTGGGAGGAGTTCTGAAGTGTTCTGCTGCTGAAATTTGAAGAACAACTGAAGTTTGAACCTGTGGAAACCATTTTTTCTAGTGCCTTATGCTTGTGAATGTTGTGCAATGGATGTAGCTGAGGTGGGACAGGGCAAGGAGCAACCTCAAGTGTGGTGGTTCATCATCCACTGCAGCCACCTCCTTTTCCCCTCGCAGGGTCTTGGCCAGCAGACACCAACGGGTCACCTCTAGCAGCTGGGGGATGCTTTGTAAATCTCTTGGGAGGTCTGGGGTTGTAGAAATGTTGGACTGGAAAAACCCTCCTCCTGGTTGATCTGCCTGGCAGAGGAGTGATGGTCTCACCTCAGCTGGTGTTGGCTTTGGAGGGGGTTGAGGAGGGACAAAGCTGCTCCGAGCGCTCCACCCCGTGCTGGGGGATGTGGGCACTTGTTCCCAAACGCACAAGCCAGGGTGAGTTTGCTGCTCTCCACCAAGGCCATGTTGTCACATGTGCTGTATTTATATCGTGCTTGATTTCATGGAATATCTGGGTTGGCTTTGGTGTTGTTAGGTTTGTACATTAATAAAGAGGCGTTTTAACTACTCCCGAATTTGGCCGTTTGTATCTTTCAGGATCCCAACCCCTGATTATCCAAGAGAAATCCTGCAGGGATGCTGAGCCTGTTGCAGGTTCCAGCCTGTGGTGGGAGCTGGAGCAAGACCTGGCCCTGTTGTGGCTCTTCAGGGAAAGCCACTTCCCCTGCCTGTCCCTGTGCCCCTCAAAATTACAAACCCTGCTCCCATTCCCTACTCTCCCAGGGCTGGGCTTGGCACAGCAGGCAGGACTAGGGAAGGACCACACGGAGCAGCTCTGATGCATGTTTTTTTATTGACTTTTAAAAAAAAAACAAACCAAAAAGAGAGTTGGTTTAAGACAGTTGTGTGCAGAAGTCCCCACGTGTGCAGAAGTCCCCACGTGCACAGAGGCTACAGGCGAAGCCACCCGCCAGCTCCCAGCCCTTGGGGTGGGATGGGAGGTGATGGATGCTCCATCAGGCACCTCGTGAGGACCACCCCTGCCAGGTGGGTGGGCTTGGGTGCTTCTTCCCTGCCCACACCCCCTCTGCCTGGACCCTCTGCCTACATCTCCTCTATCTACAGGAGAGTGGTGCTCAGCGTGGCCCTCCCTGCCAGCGCGTTCCTCGTGCGTGTGGCCAGAGGAGCACGAGTGGTCACAAGTCCTAGTGGGACAGCTTAAATAAAAAATAATTATCAATAATAATTATTATTAAAAAAAAACACAACAAACAACAACCCCCCCAACCCAAAACAAACAACAAAAACCAAAGGGGAAGGAAGTTACCCAAAAAAACCCAATAGTGTCAGGGCAGCAAGTGTGACCTTTGCCGGCGGGATTGGTGCCAGGGTTTGGTACCTGACATCTCTGCTCACCCTCTGATTGTCTGGCCTAGTTCTGCTCAGGCAGGACAGGAGCTGGATGAGGAGAACAACAACCCCCCCAACCCAAAACAAACAACAAAAACCAAAGGGGAAGGAAGTTACCCAAAAAAACCCAATAGTGTCAGGGCAGCAAGTGTGACCTTTGCCGGCGGGATTGGTGCCAGGGTTTGGTACCTGACATCTCTGCTCACCCTCTGATTGTCTGGCCTAGTTCTGCTCAGGCAGGACAGGAGGTGGATGAGGACCTCCCTGCTGTCTGTGGAGGTGTCCCTGTCTGCCCCAGCAGCACTTCCCAGCTAAAATCCAGCCCAGCACGAGGAGGGAAGCAGGTACGACTGCCCCAGCAACCAGCCAAGCCCCCCGGCGCGGGCACAGCCCGGCGTAGCTGGCAGGAGGTGGTCAAGGCACTCATTGTTGCACGTGGTTTTGTGATTTGGATTTTGCTTCCCCTAAAAAAAACCAACGAACACAAACCACCAGAAAACACCCCAATCCATGGAAACCAGGGGCTTGCTGCAACCTGCCTCCACGTGTCAGGGTTTGGGGGTCACAGGGTGTGGGTGGGCTGCTCATGCTGGCACAGCACTGCTTCTGCCAAACCTTCC